TTCCCAAACACTTCGGTTGGCTGCATCTATTATAGTGTAGAATTCTAGGCACTTTACTTGCACAGGTAAAAAAGCCTGTGACAGACTCTGAATTCTTCCCGCCAATGCTATCAACTTTCTTACTGACACTGATTGTAGCTTTTCCATCATACCCAACTTCTCTTATACTTTTAGGATTTTCTCTTCTAGAACTTCGACCACTCCCTTCTCTGTGTCTACGATCAAGCCAAAAAACTTTATCCTCTTGGTAGGCTCCCAATTGCCCTTGTCCCGAGCTTTGACAAAACCATAGCTCTCTAGATCGACTTCTATCACAGTTTCTTTTATCGCTAATAACTCCTCTCTGGAAGGGCTTGCTACCCAAACATTATTGATATGATTCCCACAATGTATGCCTCGTGACCTCCAAGAGCCAATTAATGCCCTCATTATCTTTGAAAATATCCAAGGCGCTTGGGAGAGGCCAAATGGTAGTACTGTGTAATGGAACTATTCCTCCTCTATTCGAAACCCCAGAAAACGTTGGACCCACTCGTCCATTAGAACATGATGGTACCCATCTCGCAAATCGAATACCAGCATCCACCAACCTTTTCCTACTGATCTCAACAGGCCTCCAAGACCCTCAAACTGAAAAGTTTTTCTTGGTAAAATTCGATTTAACCTTCTTAAATTTATTATCATACGAAACCTCTTCGGGCCTGATTTCGGCACCAAAAATATCGAACTCACTTCCAGCAAAAATTCTGGTCTTACTTTTCCCACACCTACTAACTTTACCACTCCTGCTTCTTTCAATCTCTTTATCTCTTTCCTTACTCACTCCAATTCGTCCACAGAGAGCTTGAATTGTTTCGGGTCTCCCATTTGCACTAATGACTTCACTCCCTTTAGAAAGATAGGCACTTTTTTCTCCAACCACATTAACACTAAGGCCGCAGGCTTTATCTTCTCTCTCCAATAACCTACTGATGACTTTATATGGATTCTCCCTACCACACTCCGTTCTTCTCCACTTTTCCCCCGAGTGTAGTCAACTTTTATTCCCTAATTCTGTCCTCTAAAAGGACTAACCCAACCTTTTTTGTGGGCAATCCTATGCAATATAACCTTCTCCTCGCAAATAAAGCACACAATTCTGAGGTTTCTATTTTTCTCAACGAACCTTTCTGCGGAATACGGCTTCAGACTCCCTTGGAAAGAGCCTAAACGACCCACGAATTCTTCTGATTTCCATATAGGTGTTGATATAGACCTTGATTTGAGGGTATGTTACTGTAAAACGGTTCTGCACCTGGTGCAAACCCTGGCTGTAAAGGTTGTTGAAACTGCTGCTGAACTGGTTGTTGAAACAGTTGCTAAAATGGTTGTTGAAATACTGACCATTGCACTGTCTGATTCAGTGCTAAATTTCCAAGCCTCACAGATATACCCATAAGTGCTAACCCTGAGGCTTCAGCTTTGTTCTCTACTTTCTGACACTTGTTCTTGGCCGATTGTCTGGCGCTGGCTAATTTATCTTGAAAATAGGCTTCTATAGGATTATTCTTATTTGGATCCCTAATCTTAGCCGCCATGTTCCAACCTTCCTTATTTGCAACCCTTAGCATGAAAGCCCTGGTCACTGCTGCATCCTGTGCTTTAATAATCAACTCCCAATCCTTATTCAAAATCGCGTTGTCCAAATATTTTTCTACCTTATACCATTCATCATACTCGAATTGATCTCTCAGCTTATTCAGCCTTTCCTTAGGCCAATACTTATTTTCTTCAGCGTTTTGCCCTGAGACTACGCTTCTCCTAATTTCTCCTATCACCTTTTCCATTGTAGCCTATACTGTCTTTTCTAAAGATCTCTCTAGAGCTATATATTGCATATCATATACTGGGGGCTCCTGACTCTCATCGCTTCCAAAATTTCCCTTAGATACCTTTTCAAAATTACTACTTCAAGCCATATTTTCAAAATCAAAATCGAGTCGTATATCCGACATACTTCTATTTTGACAATTTTCATCTACCTTTCCTTCCCTTTTGCCTTACTAACCATCCTACTAGCTAATCTATCTACCAACTCCTTTTTAGTTTCCACTTCTGATAAGCCTTTACTCCTGCATAACATCTTCAACGTCTCTACCGATAAACAATCAAAACTACTCTTGAGCTCTTGTTGCGTAACTCTCTCAGATTCATCTCCCAAGCCATTAAACAAAGGTAACGTTGTTGCTGATATTTCCTGTAAGTTACTATCGTTTTCCATTGAGCTAACTAATTTTATTATTGACTATGTGTTATTTTCGACAAAGCTAGACTTGTGTCGAGCTAGCAGCAAAGACAAAAGAGGAAGAACAAAATCTCATTTTTTTCTACTATATAGTTATTTCAATGACCTCATTTTACCATCACTTATCAATCAAACTATAAACTATAACCTGTCATTCCATTTAACAGACAATATATCATACTTACCACTAGCTGATCTAATGTCATAGATCTGAGACATAATCTCGTGCCAAATAAATGCCTCGTGACTTTGTTCATAGCATTTCATGATTATCCTCGATTATTAAATAAGGTGTTACATCGAAATATCAATAGCTTTTTTCGTCACTAAGTTGGGCTTGTACTATAAGATCAGTATAGCGAATCTAGCACTAAATAAGTAGGCTTAATTCGCCCATATCTCCCATTACTATTTCATCTATTTAATCCTTTGGATCTTTGTTTTTGGTTCCTCTAACCTTTCTAAAATTATGGCTCGAAGAACCAAAACAAAGATCTAACATCATATTTAAGTTTATCATCATCTATATGTGGGCCACTTAAATGGATAATAATAGACGCATGAACAGCACCTATTTTGATATATTTTTGGTATTTCGTCCTCAAATAATATAAGCAATGTTATACTTTCACCGGAATCTTTAACAGCGGTCTCCATAAAATTCTCAATTTTACTAATCAATTGCATTTTTATGCACATTTTTCTAAAATTGTCATGCTAACAAATACTAATCAAAATGTCTTTTAGCATTTGTGTTTTAACATATTGTTTTTGATCATATTGATTACAATCACATGCAAATTCCATATCTGTATCAACAAATCTCTACCTGACAAATTCATCATAATTTGCCTTTATTTTGCCATTCTCAAAATAAAAGCATTTCTAAATAGGCCATTTAATAACATTGGCTCGAAATCATCGTTTGGATCGTAGGGACGGTATGTGAATTGACAAACATTTCATTTTGATATGCAAAGGGTGTGGTTTGCTCTGATTCTTTAATTGTTCACGCAAAATTACAATCCCTGATGATACCACAAGATCTGGTTGTAAGTTTTTCAGCTAATAACATTTTTATTCCCCAGTTCTTATTTATACTTCTATACTAGATTATCATCCAGATTTCGGATTCAGGCTGATCCGGAATTTTTATAATTCTTTTTGATTATATATCTTTTTTTACTTTTTTTTTAATGATATACGGAATTTTAAACTAGAGTTACTAACAAAGAGTAAAAGTTGCTGGCTAAAAAAAAGAAAAAACCGAAACAGGTTTTGTGATCTGTAGTAAGCTAACTTTATTAAATACGTAATTTTACTTTGAAGAAATAGTATAGAAGTATAGTAGAATCTGGGAATTATATATAGTTATTGGATGTGAAGCAGCCAATAACGAGAATTATTTGTAAAATAATTCATATCAAATTCGCTGCCAGATAAACAAGTTATTGGCTGCGTAGCATACAATAACGGTGTTTGGTAGTGATTATGTAAGCTGCCAAATAACTTCGTTATTTGGCAGGTGACGTAATCACTGCTAAATCATAGCGATAGTAAGCTGCCGGATAACATATACGTATTTGGCATAGATTGCCTCAAAGCATTTGCTAGGGTCAGGTTCCTGAAGCTTTCTAGAATCATCTAGCCATCATATTTATTGTGACATCACTTATGATGCAGCCGGAATAAAATTATACTAACGAAACTACAGACGATTGGCTAATGTAAAATCAATTGCCCGAGTAACTTATTTATATACTTTTTAAGAATGTTAAACAAACGTCATTTTCACCGTGCAGAAGAATCTCGAAAAAATCAAACTTAACTTAGAAATAACTGCCTATTGGCGTTCAATAGAATAGAAGTAACTAGTAACTAAGAACGTTTTTGTTAAAAATCTCTTAAAACGCATTGTCCATCCGGCGACATCAGCCAATCATACCAATCATCACTATGAAAATTTCTTTTAACTAGAAACTATTTGTAAGAATTATTTCAAAATAATTACATTCGATTTTTGCAAAAGTTTCTAATAATGTCATATATTTCAAATATAAAAATTATTTAACTAACTGATCAATTAGAAAATTACACATGAGTGCCGTCAAAGAAAAACCTGCCATCGGACTTTTGACAGCACTCTTATGCAATAACCTGTACTTAGATTATTCACACTAGTCTATATAAAAACCACATGATTTTCATATAGATCAGTGCGTTATGCGTCGAATTTCTTTTTGCGTGGGTGTAACGGTAATACGAAATTTAAACTATAATTCGAGCCAATTAGCCCAGATAATTTGCATAATTCTGGTATAATTCAAATTTAGTTTCAGTCGCCAAAAGTTTATTCATTAATAAAAAGTTAATAAAACAGCTAGTAGCTTTAGCTACGTAGAAGGTAAGTTTTTATTGGCGTTGTTACGATTGCATCTTAATAAATAAATAATATATATATATGTATATTTCGATATTAACGAGAAATGCGTAGATAATTTTTATATTCCATAATTGTGTTCGCAATGTAGTTTGTGTTATACGATTAACCAATCAGAATGCATTAAGATTACTATATTCGTGGCTTGGAATAGTTGGTTAAGTATTGAGCGGTTTACAAGACGCTTTAACTTTTGTAAATTCTAATTTACTTTCTTAAGGTAGTTTTAATCTTTTCACTACCTCGGTAACTTGCTGATAAATACCCTACAAAGAGATGGCGAGAGAACAATATAGTGTGGTCGTCGAAATGGACGATGTATGTTAAGTTAAATAGATCATGTTCAGGATTCAATTTGAATATTGATTCAAAATTTTGTTTGCTAAAATCTCTATTTACAACTTGTTCTTTTAAACTTGTTTTGCATAGACCCCTGTTATAAGAGAAGAGCTCGAGTTTCAAAGTGAGATACTTATGTTATTCTATACAGTTTAAGGAACATTACTAAAGAAAGCATTATAATAGATTTTTCTTCTGGATCGGGGGTTGGAGGAAAAATCACACAAGACAAACAACAATCCTCTAATAATTCTGGTATAATACAGAATAGTTTATAATCATTTTCTGCAGTATCACTGAATTATTCATTGCTCACAAACAATTGGCTATTATTTAAAGGGTTTAATGATACATCATTTTTCGAAACACGTACACCCCAAAATGCGCCGCAAGGTGGACATCCATTATGGTCAATTGAATATTACGCTCAATACTTTGATGTAGATACGGAACAAGTATTGTAATCGCTATTCGCTGATCTACATCTGTACATATTATTATAGGATTCATGAGACACTTTTTAATTGGCTTGAATATTTTTTATTATAGGTCCTTACACGAGCGGCAAAAAGTGTTCTTCCTAAAGAAAATTTTGTTGATGTAGTTGGATCAAATCCAGACTTATATGGTACAAGATAATTGTATAAATATCCTTTCAATATATACAAAATTTTTAAAAATTGGTTTTCTTAGGTCCTTTTTGGATATCCACAACCCTAATATTCCTCCTCTTTGTAACGTCTTCCATCGCGGGATCAATCGAAGCTATTAAAAATGGAGAGAATCCTAATTATGATTTCAAAATTCTCTCTTTTGGTGTCGTTGCTATTTATAGTTATGCTTTTGGTGTATCTCTATTTGTTTGGGGTGCATTGAAGTATTTCGGATGTCGTCCTTCATTATTGGATACTGTAGGATTATATGGCTACGGATTGACTATCTGGCTTCCAATTTCAGTGAGTAACTTATTTTCATTTGAACTAATATCTCAAAAGACTAATTTCATTAATCTATATTATTGATATTTTAATAAAGGTCATATGTATCGTTCCATTTGATTTGGTACGATGGATACTTGTTCTTGTTGGATTTGCAATTTCTGGTAAGACCCAACAATAATTTCGTGTATAACATCTTTTATTTTATTTTCATTAATATAAATTTAACTTTATTAAAATATTTTTAGCATTCTTTATAACAAAGAATCTTTATCCTGTTATATCACGTGCAGAGGCAAAAACCTCTCGTCTATTCTTAATTCTTGTATTAATAGCCCATGCTGCATTTGCAATTTTGCTTAAATTGGAATTCTTCTCATACTAACACAAGTTCCATCATCATCTTAATTATAAATATAAATTACAATTTTGTGGAGAGTATAGAATGCTAGTTATCACAATATCTCGTCTTTCAGAAAAAAAAAATTTTTGTAGTCGTAGACAAAACTTATGTAATTAAAAACATGTGCATTAGATGTTATATAAGTTTTTAATAGTAATTTTTTAAAAAAATGTAAGTTTCTATAGTGTTGGAAGATTATTTGAAAATCATTTTTAAACATCTAGATTTACTATAAGGGTAGCATATTATCTTTATTAAATATATATTTTCTAATATTAACCGCGGTTATCTTTGTCGAACAAATATTCAAAGGTTTTTTATAACTACATATATTACATTTTAGTGATTATGGAAGATAGCGATAAATTTTGTCTAATATATACCTGTAGGAATCTAACCTTTTAAAAAACTAAGAAATTGTATTAAATCCGTATTATTATTATATATAGTCACGAATTAATGCTCGTTATTTCAAAATTGCACCATATTTGGATTTAAATAACGTCATACGCGTCCAGACATAATATGCATATGGGTTGGGTCTCGAAATACCATATACGTACGTACGTACGTACTGTACGTAGGGTGGACAAAATATCTTAACGCGCAAGGGTATGTTATTTCGCAACTACACTGTAATATATCATGTACGGTCGTATTCTGGATATAATGAACTCAAAAATTTTAAATTTCATACTATATAATTCGGTATAGAAATTGTTAGTTATAAGAATATAATAATTTTCTATAATAAATTTTTTTTTCTCTCAAACCATTAGTTCTTTATAGAAAGAGTAAGGATAATAATGCACAGGCCAATACGACAAGAACATCAGTACTACAGCAATTTATTGTACGGGTCGACATTGAGTATAACAAGCCCTTTTGTAACGAGCGATATAAATCTATGTAAGACAGTATTAATATTTTATTTCATTTAGATTTCAGGATTTGGAGGCTTATCTAAAATTGGTTCCTTTCTATATATAATTATATTTCCATTAAAGGTATGCATATTGATTTATTTTTAAACTCGGTTTTTTTTAAGACAATAATGTTTTTAATACTGTAATATATATATATATATATATTGTATATAACATATTTAAATATTTTTTTGCACTAGATTTTAAGCTATATAGTATAAAAAAAAATGTTTATTATTATTACGTATCGGTAGTGATGCAAACGGCTTGAACCGAGTTTTAAGCCAAATGGCTAAGCTAAGCTAATTAATGGCTTTGCTACAGGTCACTTATAAAGCATCGCATCAACTTTAGCTCAAAGTCTTGAAGCTAAGCATGAAGTCATAGATAAAAAATTTAAAAAAATCTAGGAAAAATTTTTGGGCTGGAGCGGAGGGGGGCGGGGTGGAAGACCTTTTCATGATGTTCTAAGTTGAGGCGATGTCCGGCTCTCGCCCTTGCAATAACAATGATAAATTTTGATTTGATCTATCACTATCCCCTGCAGAAATTTATTAAAAAAAAAAATCTAATAATGGTAAATAAAATTATCATAAATACTAATTTACAAAGTAAACTATATAGTTAACAATTTGTTGTATTAAAACCTTCTAAAAATGCAAAAAAGAATTTACATATCTGAATACAAGGTTGCAAAAAATTATGTTAAAAGATTAGCTCCAAATGATACCTAAAAAACAATAACACAGCTCAAAAGGCAAAATATTAATAAGAATGCGATTCAACATGACATTAGATAAATAACAAAGATTATATAATAAACGGAATATTATTGTATAAGAACTTAAAAAGATGGCACTGCATTGTCTACATTCATTTTCAAAACGGACAATTATGTGACTGATTCTATCTACGCCAAATACAGTAGTTTACAAGTTTACAAGAGGTATCAATTCAACTAATTAAGTACATATGTTACGCGCCATTTTTACTGTCAATTGACATATCAGGGTCTTTACAAATAATAGTACGCGATAAATAATTTCATATTAATCTCCGCAACAAAATAGTCACAACCAACCTAGCGTCACCCAAAAAATCAGTTACGTATCGGGATTTAACTCCTTACTGGTTTGTCTAGAACACTCTCTTAAACTTCTCTAAATCCTACAATTTAAATATTATATTTCACAAAGTCAATGCACATCAGGATGATATTTTTAACAATGTAGCTGACCAACTAGCACGAAACTATCAGCAAGCACCATATCTCACTTTCAATACAACTAATATATACAACTCTTTGTTTACTTTTGGCTCTAACAATCTAATTGAACTCTTTATATGGCATAGTATTAGAACAATATGTCACACACATATCTTCACTAACTGGTCATCTCAAAACTGGTTCCAAAAATAGATTTCAATTACCTCTCTAGTCAATTGGCAAGCAACCTGGCTTTATCTCAAAAATATCCAACTTTTCACACAACTTCCAATCCTCTACATACAAATCTTTCAGAGTCAAATTACTTTTAGATGATTTACCAATGCCTAATATTCTTTATAAAAGGAATCCTTTCTCCCTAACAAGTGTCATATATGTTAACAAGAAAGTAACTCACTTCACTGGATATTTTGCCCATTCCTGAACCCTTATTTAACCTTATTCGTAGCTCTTTAGAACATATTTTAAGTCATAACAAACTTCAAATCTCACATTCTCAAGCACACAACCTCCA